TCTCTCTCTCCCTCTCTCCCTCTCTCCCTCTCTCCCTCCCTCTGTTTGTTTGTCTGTCTGTCTGTCTGTCTAAGTGTGTAATGGAGCAGAGCCTAGTTGAGTATTGGCTACTTGAGCTCAACTTGACTCAAAAAGTCGGAGCTCGAAACTTGTCTTGAGCTTGATCAAGTTTCAAGTTTCCTTCTTGAACTTGCATCAATACTAACGAGCTACTTGAGCTTGCTTGACTTGAGCTACTCTACCCTATCATTCCTTGGGAGGTCAATATGAAGAACATCTTTTCATGATGGAGATTTGGGTCTTGTTTCTTCCTTTTCTCCATGGTTTCCATGTATCTAATCTATTGAGCATTAGTGTTGTTTTCTAACCTTTTCCATTATGATATGGTATCTTCCCATTCTAGGTACCAATGACATTGTCTCAGGTACAATGTTCTAAAAATTGTAATTGTATTGTAAATTGTAGAGAAAGTTGAACCAAATTGAGTCGTGAATCATATGGTAAATCTTGAGATCATTTATGTTTTTTTACAAACTTATCCAAAAATTAAACATAGATATACTATCTATCTATCTATCTATCTATCTATATATGTATGTATGTATGTATCTATTTATTAGAGTTTTCTTGAGGTTAATGCATAATTGGAAGGTTTTGGCAATGCAGATTTTAAGCTCTTTAGTTTCTTTCATGTGGTTTGAAGGCATGGAGAATATCTAGATGGGCAGAAATATAGTAATTTCTTATGTTGAGAATTACCAAGAATTAGAAAGTTTGGAGTTTCAACATTTAGCTTAGGAATTTGAAATATTTATTTATGTATTGAACAGATCCTCCAACAGATAGAAACTCATGTTCTTAGTTGACATGTAAATTTAAATGGAAACTTTTAATTGTCAGATCTACAATGGGATGGTTGTTTTTACCTGGATTCCATATATTTTCCTAGTTGCTCAATTGAGATCATGTTTTATACTTGTATTCTTGTTACTATATGAAATCAATACTTGTATTGCATTTCAGGTAACCATAAAAGCTCAAAGGTGTCTGCTCCATCCAAGACTGAAGTGCAAAAAGCACCACCACCTATTGAGGTTCCTGCATTATCTTTGGATGATCTAAAAGAAAAGACTGACAATTTTGGATCAAAATCTTTGATTGGTGAAGGATCGTATGGTAGAGTATATTATGCAACTTTAAACAGTGGACAAACTGTGGCTGTAAAGAAACTTGATGTTTCATCTGAGCCTGAATCCAATGTTGATTTTCTGACACAGGTGCGTATGGATTTGTAGAGAACAACGTATGTTCTCTATTTCTTTAATGAACAAAATAAGTTTTGCCTTTATTTTTCCCATTTTTTCTTTTTCTATCATGTCTGACTATATTTATCATCCCAAATGTAGGTTTCAATGGTGTCAAGACTGAAGCATGACAATCTCATTGAGTTACTGGGTTACTGTGTGGAAGGGAATCAACGTGTTTTAGCGTATGAGTTTGCAACCATGGGTTCTTTACATGACATTCTGCATGGTACATGTTATCAGTCCTGTATTTAGTTAGATAAATAAAGGGAAAACCTTCTGGTATGATTCTAGAATGAGAAGTGATAGAGAAGAAGAGAAGAGGGAGACGAAGAGAATAGGGAAAACAGTCTCTCTCAAGAGACCCAAGTGCCGTCCCTATATGTTATATTCATAATAAGATGAAAAATTACAGTAATACCCCTGAAACTGTAATATGAGAACAAAGATAAAACAGAACTGAGAAAGAGAGGGAAAAAGACCAAAACAAGCTTACAAAGACACTATATTTTAACACTCCCCCTCAAGTTGGAGCATATATATCATACAGCTCCAACTTGTTACAAATGTATTTCACCCGAGCACCACTCAAGCCTTTGGTAAATAGGTTAGCTAGTTGATCTTTAGACTTCACATTTGGGGTAATACTTTCCCCACTAACCGCCTTCTCTCTTACAAAGTGACAATCCACCTCTATATGTTTAGTTCACTCATGATACATTGGATTAGAGGATATATGAATGGCTGCYTGGTTGTCACAAAATAGTTTARTGGGAGTTGTGACCGATATTCACTAACCGCCTTCTCTCTTACAAAGTGACAATCCACCTCTATATGTTTAGTTCACTCATGATACATTGGATTAGAGGATATATGAATGGCTGCYTGGTTGTCACAAAATAGTTTARTGGGAGTTGTGACCGATATTCACTAACCGCCTTCTCTCTTACAAAGTGACAATCCACCTCTATATGTTTAGTTCACTCATGATACATTGGATTAGAGGATATATGAATGGCTGCTTGGTTGTCACAAAATAGTTTAGTGGGAGTTGTGACCGATATTCCCATTTCCTATAACAGTTGTTTCAACCACACCAACTTCCATGTAGTGTGGGGCCATGGCTCTGTACTCAGCCTCAACACTATTCCTAGCTACCACATTTTTCTTCTTGCTTTTCCAAGTAATCAAATTCCCTGCCAAAAACGTGCAGTAACCGGTTCATTTCCTGTTAGTAACTGACCCTACTCAATTAACATCTACGTGTATCCTACCAAGCAAAGTTCTCTCCCTTTCTTATACAACAACCCTTTACGTGGAGCACCCTTCAAATAGCGTAGAACTCTAACAATACATTCCCAATGGATTTAGTTGGCTCAATAATCCAACACTGAAGGAAATGTCTGGTCTTGTGATGGTTTAATAAATGAGTTTTCCAACTACTCCATTGTAACGTCTAGGATCAACTAGGGGCTCCCTCTCACTTTCAGACATCTTCACATTCGGATCTATAGGGGTATCCACTGGCTTTGCCCCTTTATAGACTAGTTTCTTCCGACAAGTCAAGCATACACTTTCTTTGTGAGAGAGAGATTCCCTACTATGACCGTACTACTTCTATGCCCTGAAAATATTTCAAGTGCCCCAAGTCTCTAGTCTGGAACTRACTTTGTAAGAACTATTTGAGCTTTTTAATGCCATACTCATCGCTTCCTTAATAATGATGTCATCAACATAGACTGCCAAAACAATCTTCCTAGAGGTAGTATCTCTATTGGACACTGAATGATCAACTATACATTGTGTCATTCCAAATTTCTGAACCACAGTACTGAATCTCCCAAACCAAGCCCTTGGAGATTTTTTCAACCCATAAATTGCTTTCTTCAACCGGCACACCTTTCATTCCTCCCTTGAGCAACATACCCTGGAGGTTGCTCCATATACACTTCCTCTTCTAGGTCATCGTGGAGGAATGCATTTTTAATATCCAATTGAAATAACGGCCAATCAACGTGTGTAACCAAAGAAATAAGTATACAAACTAAACCCATTTTAGCCACATGTGAAAAAGTATCAGTGTAATCAACTACATAGGTCTGTGTATATTGTTGTCTACTAATCGTGTTTTGTATCTCCCCACACTATCATCTACAAGATGTTTAGCAGTGCAAGGTCCCAAGTATGATTAAATTGAAGAGCATGAAATTTCTCATCCGTGGCCCTCTTCCATTCCGGAGAGAGGAGAGCATCATGAAGGGATCTAAGAACAAACACAGAGGAGAGAAGAGATACAAAATTCTAATAGGATGGAGATAAATGGGAAAATGAAACATAACGAGAGATAGGATGTTTAGTACAAGCATGCTTCCCTTTACAAAGCGCAATGGCTCTAAATGAGACGGATCCGTTGGCGGAGGAGACAATGATTGTTGAGGCTGAGAAGGTTGAAACACAATACCACCAGGATCGTGAGCATACACCTGATGGATCAGTGGTCACATTGACTCTTGAACAACAGGATCTATCACAGACACCTCCATTGGTAAGGGAAGAGCAGGTGGAGATAAGGGGTCAAGAGAAGTGGACTCTGTTGATGAGAAGAAAGGGACATTTTCAAAGGTCACATTAGGAAGAACAAAGGAGCGACGAAGAGGACTGTAGCACTTGTACCCTTTCTAGGTCTGAGAGTACCCCAAAAAGACACATTTAAGGGGACAAGCCATCTAACTTATCCAAACCCAGACCCAGGCGATGAACAAAACAAATACACCCAAAGACGTAGGGGGTAAAGAGAATAGTGATTGAGAAGGAAAGACAATAGAGAAGGGAGAGGAACCACGTAACATGGAAGATGGCATACAATTAATGAGAAAGCATGAAGAACATCACTCCAATATGTTTTTGGAACTAACATTTTAATCAAAAGTGCCCAAGTAGTGTCAAGTAAATGTCTATTATTCCGCTCAACTACTCTATTTTGTTGTGGAGTAGAGGAGTAGGATGATTGATGTATTATGCCATGAGATTCAAAGAACATACGAAATGGGAGTTGGAAATATTCTTTTGCATTAGCAGATTGAAAATATTTAATGGAGATACCAAATTGATTCTTATTTTCATCATAAAAGGAGAGAAATGTATCAAACACTTCAATGCGAGATTTAATTAAATAAATCCAAGTCATCCTTGAAAAATCATCAACAAAGGAAATAAAATATTTAAAACAATTGTAAGACTCAATTGGTCAAGGACCCCAAACATCTGGATGAACAAGTTCAAAAGGACTTGAGACTCTAGAAGATTCCCATGATGATGTTTACTTAGCTGACAAAATTCACATTGTAACTCACGAATAGACATGACATTTGGAACAAGGCTCTTGAGAGTTGGAAGAGAGGGATGACTCATTTGACAGTGCCACTGCAATGGTGTAATGGAAGAATGAAAAGCTGTTTGTGATGTGATCCACCACCATCTAAATAATACAATCCTCCAACTTCATGCCTGCTACCAATCATCTTTCTCGTCTTGAGATCCCGAAAAATGCAATAAGATGGAAAGAATGATATGGAGCAATTCAAGGATTTTGTCAACTTACTAACCGGCATAAGACTAAAGGGAAATTTAGGAACATATAGAACCAACGACAAAGAGAAATCAGAATATAAAGTAACGTCACGGCCTCACGGGTACCAGAAACAAGAGAGGTAGTACCATCAACAAGGTAATCGATTGGGTAGTAGAGGGAGGGGATAACGATACAAATAATTTTGAGGACCCAATCATGTGATCTGAGGCCCTAGAATCAATAATATATGGTGTAGAAGAGGAAACAAGACATGTTGTACTTGACTTTGCAAGAGTTGCAGTATTACCAGATGAAGAAGAAGAAGACAAACTGAGTTTTTCATACTCTTCACGAGTGATAGAAACCATTTCCTTCTCCTTCTCAGTCCCTAAAACAATATGGTCATCGCTTGTAGTATCACTATCTCCTACAACAACATAATTAGCCCAAGTAGATGGTGGGCCATGTAGAGGTCATAACAAAAGTTCACAATATGTCCTTCTCGTCCACAATAGCTACATTCTTTGATCATACCTTGACCACCAACACTGACACCATGACCTCTAAAATTCCCATCTCTACCACCACTGTGACCTCCTCTCATACCATGTTTACCACCTCTTGGATAGCTACTTATACTATGAGCCACCCCTACCGCCTTTGGTTGTATTTAGGGCAGACTTCTCTAATATTGAAGAACTATTTGTATGTGGACTTGTAACCATTCTTACTTTGGAAAAAAAACTTCTGATAGTGTAGGTGCATCACTGCTAGTGTTTTAAAAGCACAAGGCGCAAGGTGAGGTGCGTGCCTTTTTGAAGCAAGGCACAAAATTACAAAAAATGCTAAAAAATAAAAAAAAATGTTAGAAAATTAAAAAATGCAAAATTTCAAAAGTATTAAACATAATGTTAATATAAAATATAAACTTAAATTTTAAAATAAATGTTTTAAAAAACTTATTATCTAAAATTAAAATACACATGTAAAGCGTATTCAAATAAAAATTTAAAAATAAAAGCAAACATATAAAGCATTTTCAAGCATGTAAAATCCACAATCTCTTTTTTTTCCTCAATTGCATTACTTGAAGTAGCTAATGTGATGTAAAACATATTGCATTCTTAATTCTATGAGTTGTCTTTGTACCATGCCCCTCGAGGCAAGCCTGAACAAGTCCATGTTAGGGTCTTAAATTCTTACTTCTCACATAAAAATAGTGATTTTATAACTTTAATTGCCTTTTAAGAAGATATTTTATTGGAATGAATGATTGGACAACATTAGCAATCGGAGCTTCGGTGAGCGAGGAACCGGAGTGGAGTAGAACCCCCTATTTGCTAATGTTGTTCATTCATTCATTCCAATAAAATATCTTTAAGGTAATTAAAATTATAAAATCATTATTTTTTATGTGAGAAATAAGAATTTAAGACCCTAACATGGATTTGTTCGGGCTTGCCTTGAGGGGTGTGGGCGGAGCCCTTGGCCCAGCCGTTAGGCTAAAAAAAAAGCAAAAAACACAATATTTTAAAAAGGTGCACGCCTGGGCTGAGGTGCAAGGTGCATTAGGCGCCTTTTGAAAGGGTGTGTGCCTAGGACCTGGGCTAGGTGCATACCCTAAAATGCGCCTTGCCTATGGGCCTAGGCGTGCCTTTTAAATCATTGATCATTGCTACCTAAAATTTGGGCACACACTGATTCAAATTCAGACCTCAATCTAAAAAGAAAATGCACCACATCCAACTGATCTCTCTGGTGTTTCTACACTTTGAGATCAATCGGACGTAGACTCTTTAAGGAGGCATGGAGTACTCTTCCACACTCCTATGACCTTGCCGTAGCTGAAAATGTTCCTGATACAATTGATAGATTCTAGTTACATTGTCTGTCCTGAATACAACTGCTTAGCATGTTCCCAAATTTCTTTCGCAGTATCAGGTTCACACTGATATGAGGTTCCATACTGTTCCGAAGACATGTCATAATCTGCGCATTCTCCTGGATCCAATAATTATACCCTTCAGCTCCTGGGTCTGGTTTATTTTCTTTAATATGTTTAAACTTTTCTCTGGCTGTCAAATTTACCTCAACCTACTTCGCCCATGGTACATAGTTTGTACCATTGAGTTTGACTGATGTCATTTGTACAGCCATGAAATCAGGTTGTACTGTCACACTTGTTTTGGTTTCACTACTAGAATTTGTCATCAGTTATTTCTGCAACACTCTCCCAACACAAACACCTTTCAGACTTAACAACAGTACTCAACCAACTCAATTACAGGTTCAGAAACTTCAACAGCATAGCCACAACCCCTAAAACTGGAACATCAGCACAAGAACTTCTACGAGTCAACCAACCTCACGGTTCACAGAAAAAACACACCAAACACAAACAATGATCAACCGAACTTCACATTCACAGTCGCTCTTCGAACTGCCGAATAGAGGAAGTCTAAAACACTATCAAACAACCAACCAACCATGCAACTTGAGGCATGGAAGCCTTCTAACCTTCTGGGTAATCAGTCCTTTTAGGTTTACCCCCCTCCTTTCTTCTCTTATTAGTAGAAAACCTGAGCCGAACCAGTTCCAGGCGTCCTTTACTGATGAAGTCAGGAAACTCGATCAACCAGGCTCTGATACCATGTTATTAGTCCTGTATTTAGTTAGATAAATGAAGGGAAAACCTTCTGGTATGATTCTAGAATGAGAAGTGATAGAGAAGACAAAGAATAAAGAGGGAGACTAAGAGAATAGGGAAAACAGTCTCTCTCGACCCAACTGCCACCCCTATATGTTATATTCATAATAAGATGACAAATTACAGTAATACCCTGAAACTGTAATAYGAGAACAAAGATAAAATGGAACTGAGAAGAGAGGGAAAAAGACCAAAATAACCCTATGAAGACACTATTTTAACAGTACCATATTCTGAGGGCGAGTTTATTCCTAATTGATTGAATAGAAAATTGAAAGCTTATTTTTATTTTCTTGATGTTACCTGGTTGAAAAATTTCTTTTTCATTACCATTAAAAAATTTCTTTGAAACTACAGGTAGAAAAGGAGTTCAAGGTGCACAGCCAGGTCCAGTGCTTGATTGGATGCAGCGAGTTAGAATTGCTGTTGGTGCAGCTAGGGGACTAGAGTATTTACATGAGAAAGTTCAACCCTCTATTATACACCGGGATATCAGATCAAGCAATGTGCTCCTATTTGAAGACTTCAAGGCCAAAATTGCTGACTTTAACCTTTCAAATCAGGCTCCTGATATGGCTGCTCGTCTTCATTCTACTCGAGTTTTGGGGACCTTTGGTTATCATGCACCAGAGTAATGCTGCTAAAATTTGTTTACCTTCATTTCATATTTTGCTAAACTTGGTGAATAAGTTGGCTATTTTTCATGGTCCAATTCCGTAGATTTCATGGTTATGTGTTTTTGCTTTTATGTTTGACACAATAAGACGGGTTCCCCTGTTAGTGCTATTGGGGTATGTTAATACAACATCACTTTGATGAAGAAACCACTGGATATTTTAGCTGATGCTTGCAACCTAAGTATCCCAAATTTAGTGGCTAGCAATTAACTGACCATGTTTAACCTATTATATGGCCTAAATCATAAATGCCTATTAGGTGAAATATGTGTTTTTTTTTGAAATTTGCCTGTCTAAACAGTACCTGCTCTGTTGTAAGTTTTAGAAAAATGAAGATTCCATGTTCAAGAATCATGGTTCTGAGGAAAGAGTCCAAAATATAACTTAATGAAGAAATGTTTCTGTTACAAGTACTATATTTAACTTGATATGCAGTTATGTAGGGGCAATTGGTAGACTTTTGCTTTGAAGCAGAAAAATGTTTTTTTCTTTATAAAAGTAGTCAATCCTTTTTCATCCATTGGTATGAATTGTAGTAGTAGGGTTTACTTATTCTGTTTTTCTCCTTGTTAGGGAAAAGGTAAGCTTATTAGGAAGAACTTTTGTTCTGTGGGTAGGAAGGAGAAAGTGAAAATTTCTCGGTTTGTAAGACATCACATAGGTAGTAGACTATGTTTATGTAGCATAAAAGCTCCTTTGCAGAAAAAGCAGCTTTTGTTGTTTAGCTATCCTTTCTGTTTTCAGGAATGCCCTCCAGAAAGCAAGTCTGTTTGATATTGTCTATTTTGATTGTGGTAGGAAAAGCACAAAAGCTTGTTCTAATGACTCCTACCTTTCCCACTTCCAAACATAATTTTCCAACTGCATTGCTTTCTGAAGCTTGTCCTACCTTTAGGTTTCAGAATGGTCTGTGCTTGATATATTGTCTAGCTTTGGATGATGACTTGACTAGCTTTCAATTTTTATCATCTTAGTTTTTAGAAATGATTTATACTGTTCATCAAGACTTTGGGTCAGGGCCATTGCTTGGTGTATTAGTAAAATTTTGGGTTGACAAGCATGAGAACGTGAATTCAACTATAGTTGGCCACTTTGTGTGAAAAATACCAAAGTTTAAGTCCATATCCAGTCCACTCCTCCCTAGGCCCCAGATAGCTGGGACCAACATTGGGTAATGGCCTTTTTGTCAAGACTTTGGGTTGTGTAATTGATGAAAATTGGTAGTCCAATGTTTTTGGATTAGCCAGAAGATGATGGAAAAGTGCAGATCTTCTAGCTGTGTTATGTTAGGATTTCTTGGGGCCTTCTATTTGATACTCTTGATTGGTCAATGCAGTTTTGGCAAAGAGAAGATGGAGAATAGGTTTGTAGAAGTTGCAAGATGGAGGAAAGTGATGAAGATTGAAGCAAAAGATCCCATATTTGAAGAGAGAAGGATCAGAGGCCAGCAGAGTTTGAAGGTTAGGGAGGCAAAGAAAGCTACAATACTGTTGGAAGGTCTTGAAGTGATCGAATGGATGCAGAAGTTTTGTTTCAGAAGCAAGTTCTAAAGGTAAACAAATGAACTTTACGAGTTCAACCTTGATGGAAGAAAGAGTTATGAGTTGGAATGCAAAAAGAATGCAAAAGGATGCTACATAACTCTGCTGGAATTCTTTGGAGGAAGAAAGAAGCAGTTGGTTTGCTTCCCAGAAAGTAGAAGGGTAATGGATGGAAGGTAGTGGCAGAGGTACTGAGTGACTTTACTCAGCAGCTGAAAACAAAACAAGTAGAGGCTGTAGCAAAGGAAAAGAAAGGGGGTAAACAAAAGAGAGAGGAAAAACCCATTGATAGGAAATGGATGATTGCAGAAAAAGGAAAAAAAAGCAAACTGGTAACAACAGTAGAAAAAGAGGATTGGGGGAAGAAATTTGTGGTGGAAACTTCAGGTYCACCAAAGGATTGGAGAGGTATTGCTCAGGTGATACTCAAAGAATTAAACCTGCAAAAGCCGATGGTGATTACTCCTTATGAATCTTGTAAAGCCTTGATAGATCTGGGTGAAGACGAAGTAGAGATTTCAGCTTTAAGCATTCACTCAGGGGCTGGTATTGCCACAGTCTCGAAATGGTGTCCTCTCTCTAATACCAAATGTCTTGAGATTGAAGACAATGTAATAGTCAGATTGCTTGGGTTACCCTTTCAATCTCTGGAAGGAGGAAGTATTACAGTCAATAGCTGTAACCTGTGATGCAAAACTAGAAGGTGTTTTTGATTGTGATCTCCATTCAGTTGCCAGTGATGTTAGATGGTGTTAAACCCAGTGACATTCCAAGGAAGATAGAGGTTGTTTTAGGGGGTTTAGTACACCCCGTTTGGCTTGCTACCTCCATTGAAGCCCAGCTATGGAAGGAGGGAAGAAGGGAGGAAGATGAAGGGGCAGAACAGGCCTGGTTGCTTGGTTTGCAAGGCAGAATAGTCACTACAAAAGAGGCTAAGTCATCTGAGGTAACCAGGAAAAAAGAGAAAAAAGAGAATAATTTAACCACTTGGGGAAAGTCTGCATGGCAGAGTGGGTTGAGGGATGGCAGGTCCTATGTTCAGTCGGTGACAGGAGGATTAATTGGAGGCAGACTTGCGCCAGAAGTTTAAATTTCAAAAGAAATTGAACAAAGGTCAGCAAGGGTTCAGGTGTCAAGCCGGTCTTGTGAGCCAGTTCATTCTGGTCCATTGAACCAAGGCCAGTCACATGTTTTAAGTAAACACGTGACTGGTAAAGAGGTTGGGGGGCTGGGCCCAGGTCCATCAATAAGTAATGGGTCTATTCTTGTGAATGGGCCTGCTGTGTTAAATAGTGTGGGCCCAGGCTTTAAAGAGCCAYGCGCCAGAAGAAGCACTCTCAATTTCCCCCATTACCTAAGGAATTGGGGTTTACCGCAGCTATTATAGAGGAGAGGCAGGGGACACCAGTTCTTAAATTTGCTCCCAGTTCGCTAGAGCGGCACGACACTGATAGAGGAACAGGACTTACCTTTGTCACTGATCACAGAGTCATCAACCAGGGGGCAACATCTAAAGGCAGACATCTAAACCCACATCAACACAGTCATCTCTTTTGGAAGGATTAGCCACGACCTTGCCCCTTCGTGTTGCTCCTCAAGAGTCATTGACCTCTTTCCACAACCATTCAGGTAATATTGTCAATTTGTTTTCTGGTACTGATGTGGGTTTCCTGCCTGGAACAGGTACTTTTGCAGCTCAACTTGATGCAGCAGCCATGGATGGAAAGTACTTGGGGACAAGGAGGGCAAAGAACAAGAGGAAGTGGGAAGGGTAAGAGAATCACAAGAAGAGGAGTTAGAGAAAATCTAGGATCGGATTTGTATGTTTTTGGAGGAGTATAATGAGAAAAGAGGAAGAGGTAGGGAAGTATGAGGTTCAAGAAGGTTTAGTAAAAACAGGGGTTCAAAGAAGGAATGGTTCAGGGGTGAAATGTAATCGGTTGCCTGGATGGTTTCCAGGCCAAATGGTCTGGCTGTCTGAGTCAAAGATGGTTTGGGAACCATGAGTGTATATAATTTAATTGGATTTGGATTGTTATTAGATTGAAGTGCAGTAATAATTGGGCTTCGTTTGCTCCATATGATTCCAATTATATAAAAATCCCACTGGAATCTGAATAATGGAGTTAGAGTTGAATTGAGTTACAGATTTACAGACTCCATTGACAGCCCTGTAGCATACGTACAATTGTAGTTTTCGAGGTGGCAAGTTGAAGTTGGGCAACAGGGGGCGACTTGTCACCTTGTCACCTAGGTGTTGATTTTTTAAAATAAAAAAATATAAATCCTAGGGTAGTTTCCTATGCTTCATACTAATAAGCATTAATCTTTAAGCAATAATTACAATGGTCCTCATGAAACAACCATGAACCTCATTAAAACATAGAAAATCAACTTATTTATGAGAAGAAGAAAGAGATGAAAACACAGAAAATATAGGCGCTATCACTTGTCCTTATCATAGGAGGACAAGAATAAGAAAGAAGAAGTTTTATCTGTGCTTTTATCTGTCAATTGGATAAAATCTTCAAGCTCTTCCTTTCTTATTGGTTCAGGTTTTGAGGTCTTAAAGTGTTCAAGATTGTCACTAACTTGTGTGTCAATTGAACCCAAACAAATAAAAAATAATAAAAGAAACTAGTATAATAAACCCACAAAATGAATAATTTATTGTAATACTATTAATATCATAAAATAAAAAAATATAAAGCTACTATGTGGTGTCTTATAGATAAATATGTAATTGTTGGGTCTATTTATGTGTGCTGACAGGATTGTTCTGATTCCATAATGGAAATGGAAGTTCAGACTCATAGATGTAAGTGTCTGTTATAAAAAATATCATGTGGTGTCCTATTATCCTGATCCAATAATGGAAACGGAAGTTCAGACTCAATTTATATCACAATTTACAAATATGGCCTCCTACTAGAAAATTTTACCTAGTCTCCTTGAGATTATATCTTCCTTTATTGTAAAATGAGTAAGCTTTTATTCTGCCATGTCTTTCTTGAAAAACTAGATCGAAAAGATGCTGGTTGATGATGTTGGAGGTCGCATCTCTCCATGAGACTTGTACAGTTGTACCTGATTTTATCCACTTTCTAATAAAATTACTTCATTTTATCAACACCCCCCCCATCTTGTATCATCTATCCTGTTTATGGGTTTCACAAGTAGCTCCTTTGGAGATCTATCTTTGGTTCTAATGATAGTATAATCGGTTAAATGGTCCCTGGAAGCAACTTGCCACAACACCAAGTAGTGGTGTTAAGTAGGCAAGGGTTCCCACATCCTTCTAGGTGGGGGTGGGTAAAGAAGCTAATGGATATGGCACTAAACAAAAGAATGGTTAAACAGGATTCATGTTTAAACTGACCCGTCATTTTCAGAGAATGCTCTAACTTGAGCACAAAATATACACATCAGGATCCATGATCAAGAAAGTTTGGCGAAAGTTTTAGTGCCGGCTACCAACCTGATGTAACCCTCCTTTATCTGGGCTTGGGACTGATTATGGAAGACAAGCTTATACTGGCGGTATTTCTCAGTCTTCTAATCTGCCTTTTAATTTAAAAGGCTGCCAAAATTTGGCCCCAGTTATCTGGAGTCTTGGGAGGTGGACTAGATAAAAGACCTAACCTCTGGTATTTTGTGTGTTGAGTCTCAAACATGCAATTTTCATTCTTGGCTGCTTGAGCTTTTACCATCACACTAAGCAGTGGCCTCTGGTCTATCTCTTAATTTCTTTAATATAAGACCTAACCTCTGGTATTTTGTGTGTTGAGTCTCAAACATGCAATTCTCATTCTTGGCTGCTTGAGCTTTTACCATCACACTAAGCAGTGGCCTCCTCTGGTCTATCTCTTAATTTCTTTAATATAAATTGCTTTTGTTTATTATTCATAAAAATTACTTTTGCTTATTTAGAAAACCTTTGCTGATGACAAGATGTGCAAACCCTGATTCCTAATGCAGATATGCAATGACGGGTCAGTTGACACAGAAGAGTGATGTATATAGCTTTGGTGTCGTCCTTCTGGAACTTCTTACTGGTAGAAAACCTGTTGATCATACAATGCCTCGTGGGCAGCAATCTCTTGTCACCTGGGTGAGTACTCTAATTTTGTCAAAACATTACTATGCATGAATAAAATATTTTTGAAATTAGAACCATTTAATGTTGAACTGAGTAGAACTTTTTTGACCAGGCAACTCCAAGATTAAGTGAGGACAAGGTTAAACAATGTGTGGATCCAAAGTTAAAGGGTGAATATCCTCCAAAAGGGGTTGCTAAGGTCTCTCTCTCTCTCTCTCATAGTTTGTATTTCTGACATGTACAGAAACTACTACAATATTGTTGTAACCAATAGGTAGACGTTGGTAGACTTTAAAATCAACTAATCAAAATCTCTGGAATAATTCCATTGCATAGCTAATGACAGATATACAGGGAATTCCGTGCCACCAAGGATCTCCTTTTAAAAGTGTCAATTAATCTGTTTCAATGTCTTTTTACCTCATTCCAGTGGATAGAATTTTCATGTCCAATTATATATTTGACCAATTGACCCCAAGGCATCGAGTTTCGTAAACTGTGTACCACCATTGAGTTGGAGAAGAAACTTATTTGTTAACTCTGGGATTTGGTCATTAAATGATATGGTCCACATTAGAGATATGAAATCGAGGAGTATCTTCTTGCTTCCAATTGTTGAGCGGAGATTGTGGAGTGTTTGTGACATCATTCCTTCCAAAATGAACACATTTAGAGTAGTGTTTTTTGACAACCTTGGTTTTATTTTTGAAAACAGAAGTAACTGCCACATCAGCAAAAACAATATAATTTTACTAGTGTGGCAGTTTTGTTTTCAAAACAAAATCAATCATGTTGTCGAACACCTCCTTAGTCATTTAAAACTGCACGTGTACTCTTGGTTGGATGTTTAATGTCATCCCACTGGCTGTGATGCCCCTTGGAATGTGCAACATAATGATCTTCCACACGTGAAGCGTTGATAGAAGCTGGCAAGGCATGCATTTATGTATGATTTAAGTACTATTAGGAGTCTTAACAATTCGAAATAACTGACAGGTGATGGTTATTTTTGTTGATCCAGCTTGCTGCTGTGGCAGCCTTGTGTGTGCAGTATGAGGCAGAGTTCCGACCAAACATGAGTATAGTCGTCAAGGCTCTCCAGCCACTTCTCACACAAAAGTCTCCTGCACCAGCACCAGCACCAGCACCAGCACCTGAGAATTAAGATTCAGTGAAGCTGGCCACGGGTTGTTTTCTATTGCGCATGTGGAAATTCTGCGTCTTGTGTCATTGTGTAGTGTGGTTTCGTTATTCTCGGGCCTATTAGCCAAGGTTGCCTTTATATGTATTACTAATACTATTATTTTATTTATTTGCTCGAAGATGAATGGGTAAGATCGGGTGGGTTCTTGCAGATTGCCAATATGTTTGGTTGCCAGCCTGTATGGGAGGGTTGTCAATATTCTTCTTTCTGTTTTTCTCTGCTTTATGTGATTGGTTCGTCACGATTGATGACTATGTGGGCTAACCACTTTACCTGCTTAGCGCTTAATATATGAGCCTCTCATCAAGGTTCAAAGTATCGACACGTCGGGACCCCTCTGATTTGCCCCTACAGTGGGTGTATTGGAGGTCTGACCGGTTCAGGGGGTAGAGAAGCCCTAAACCAGTCCCCCCTGAACCGGTTGTGAAAAAAATAAAAAAAAACAATAAAAATGAGTATCTATTCGYCCGATACGCCCCTACCGGTGTATCAATATTTTGAACCTTGTCTCATATGCACTTCAGCACTTGGATATAATGTATCAATCAAGAGTAAAAAATGTTATATAGAATTTTACAAATTATTACACGCATAAAAGCCATTAATATGTTTTTATATATTTTAATTAAATTATTAATTAATAGTTGTAAAAATATAAATTAATTTAAAGTAAAATTAGATGCATGAGAATATAGAAGACTTATTCTTATTTTTATAAATTAATAAAAAGTTAAAAATCAAATTTGATATAAATATTGCAAATGGATTTGATATATCATTATTTGATTAGTATTTTTAAAATATTGATTTTAATGATCTATTCTTAATTGGATAAATTACAATTGTCACTATATTTTGATCGTATTATGGTAATGATACTTTGTTCCTTGAACTTTCATTTTTGACAAATACCAACCTTGAGCTTTTAGATTCTCACGCTTTGCTGCTGTTGGCATTGCCCGTGGAGAAAATAACGTGAACATGAATTAGGAGTGTGACTTGCACATTTGTTATTCTTCTCCAAAATTTCAAGATCCTCGACCATTATTGATTCAGAAATTCAAATTTTAGCACACTAGAAACGAGATCAAATCAGCTCCTACAAGATTGCCCCCCACAACGTTCCACAGCACATCCCTGCCGTGTATTGGGAACATCTCCCAATGGTAATACCAGAAATGATGATGTCATCATCGGGAGATGTTTCTAATACACAGTGGGGGGGCTGATTTGAACTCACTAGAAACATGTGTAATGTGTTTAGAACTTAAAGTTGCAAATTCAAGTGAAATGTGTTTAGGGTTTGAATTTAGCTTGAACCTTTATGAAGAATAGTTTAGATTCAAAATTAATCTCAATTGGAAAGTTTTAGACTTCCCCACTCTTTGAACAGGGGGGATTTGGGGCCTTGAATGGGTAAAAGAAGAAAAGAAAAAGCATAGAGAAGCTCTCTTAGGGGTGGGTGGTAGTCTACTTAGTTGGAGTTTTGGAGAAAGAATTTCTCCAAGTGTAAAGGGACGGACGTATATATCGCAATCATACCATCACGGAATCACCACGGTCACCATAATGATTATATTATCACAGGATAACCATGGTCATGCTATTGCAAATAATCTATCATAGGATAATCGCGGTCACACAATGAATGCTAATCATGATCATCATCCTCATATATAATAAACCACGGTCCTCGACCAAGGCAAAGCTGTGATATAAAAGTAAAGCCTACAAAAGATAGAGATGTTGTACATGCATGTGAGATCTACAGAAATGCCCTACACACAACACGTAAGATTGTACAGGAAGTGGTAATTGTAGTCTGCACAGGCTAATAACTGGTCCCCACCCTATGATCTGGCGCCTCTCCATCGAATTAACCTAGGCATTTGAGCCAATAACCACCTTAGGAATATCTTGGAATCCTCATTCCATTCACTTATAAGCCCTTCTCCCCTTTTATAAATAGAGTTCATTTTTATGGGAAAAGGGATCAATCTTCTGCCCCATGTTTTCTTGACCGAACCATAATCTTTAGTCTCCTCAACTTCAGAGCTAAGAATCTCCAGTTGAAGTTTTGTCTTGAGAAGAAGATGCCGCCAAGAAAAGTAGTGGTTAAAGAATAGATTTAGCAACAACCTCTGCTGGACGAGACACTATTGGAGTCACCTGTCTAACAATTTCTAAGGTTTAAGTGTTTGGTTATTTGTAATCATGATTGCCCAGGCTCTACTGTGTCAACTGAAACATGATAAGTCAACTAATTGTGAAAGAGAAGACTGAGAGAGATAGTCAATTATCCCAAAAGGCATAGTTGACTACTTGTAACAATCAGGGCATAAAAATGCTTTGTTTAAGAGAAGTAGTCAACTATCCAAAAATGCATAGTTGATTAACTTGGATAGACAGAGTTTAAGTTGATATCAATAGGAGGAACTAGTTGATGGGAGAAAAAAAAGATTCCTTCATCTAGTAAACAACTATAAAAAATTTAGTAGTCGACTACTTGAAAGAAATTTGACCATTTAAAAGCTTAAATAACTATTGCTATCTTTGGTAAGCTTTCTAGCATGTTGAAGAAAATTTGAATTATTTTTAAGAATGGAAAAATCCCTTTAATGGATATAAACGGTCGCTTGCTCTCAAATCCTCTATAAATAGAGATGTTTAGCTTGATTCAAACCAAGCAATAGAAAAACAACTTGTGCTATCATTGCAAGTAGTGTATAGTTGTTTTTAGAGAGGCAAGTTAGCAAGATTCATTTGTTGAAGAGATACTTGAGCTTCAATAGTTTTAAAGGTGAGAAAAGCTAAGAAGCCTTTGAGCTTGTATAATATCACCCATCTATCAAGAGATAAATTCATGCAACTGAATAGGTTTGAATTGTATATTGCTATATCTACCTATTTAGAGGTCTCTTGTTGTAACCTGCCTTATGCTATATTTGTATTATCTTGAGATAAGGTAGGTGTTATAGTTTGAAAATTATCAAGGTCTTATTGGTCCTAGCTGGTTCGGTCACACCCCAATAACCATATTTGATAAAAACTCAGTGAAAGCCTATGTATGAGTTTAACCAATTGACTATCTAGTTTAATTAGAAAACCTATGTACTAGTTCATGAAACCGCTTGGGTCGTTAAGTAATTGAAATTTTAAAACGTGTTTGACAAGACTTGAACCCATGACATTTTATTTTCATATATTGCTTAACTACTACTAGTCCACCTCTTCTTATGTTAATTATTAACTCTTTATGGTATATATTACTTTATTACACATATTCAAAAAAATTGTAAATTATGAGACTTGAGTCAATTATGTTAAAAATTAAGGAACTTAGCATTCACCCACCATATTTAAGTATACTAAAACCTGTAGAATATATTATATAATATTCATATGACCCGTAGTATATACATATATGCCATGTCATTGTGGTTTGTCCTCTAGTTCAACCCAGTGAAGGGATGAGATATCCATCATATGGATGGCCGAACCTTGTAGGAAGGTTGGGAAAAATTTCAAAAATTTCTTTACTCCCATTCGGGAATCGTATTCCCAATTTAGAAAACTGCACTTTCAAGGTTCGTTCTTGGAACCAAACCGGACCAAATCTGAAACCAAGATTAGGGAGAGGTATACCTGATATGGAGTCCACACAAAAATGCTCCTCCCAACGCAGTTGTTCATGCCCAAAGAGTGTACCGAATCCTCCCTCCACTGAAAATGACACAGCTTAGGATGAGGCAGGATCATCAGGTAGTTTTTCACCAAGAACTTGTGATTCTTCATCAATAATCGAATGGGGTAGTGAGCACAAGTTCAGAATTGTTTCTTCTAGCAAGAAACCATATTAAGATCCAATATTGATTAGTTCCAAGAAATAGAGATCGAATAGGGTAGGGCGGCAAGAGTAAGGAAAGAAAGAACTAAAGGCAGAAACAGTCAAACTGTGTTTTCTTCTGTTGTTGTCTTGTTTTTCAGATCCGCCCTGCTCTCTATATATAACCTTAAAGAGATGATCTCCTAATCTGATTAGGAGTTTCTTGATCCAAATCTTTATTTGGATCAGAACTCTTAAATGATAAGGATAATAGCTTATCTTATCTATAGATCAAGATTAGCTACTCCTAATCTAATTAGAAGTTTCCTGATCCAAATCTCTATTTAGATCTGGACTCTTTAAGTGGATAAGAGTTATCCGCTTATCCTTATCTGCTGATCCATACCAATATTCACCCCTATTTAATTAACCCAATTAACCTAATTCGAAATGGGCTTTAGGCCCATTAAACTTTTAGGCTCACTTCCTTTTAATGCTAGCTAGCTTGGTTCTCTTTGTATGGTGTGGGACCCTATCATTGATCTACACATCAGCCATATGGGTTTAGCCTAGCCTCTGTTACAAGGCCTGGCCGAACTCACTATTAAATACAGTGAGCCCCTGAGTCCATCACTATGGGCTCTTAACGGGCCCAACATTTACACTAAATGGTCATTAGGTCCAGCCAACTTATGAAG